TTAAAATATCCAGTAGCAGAATGAAGGTGTAATTACGGTGAATGACTTTCATTCTAGTAACCTTGGTTAGAATGACTTCAGTAGGGAAGTAGAATGTAGGCATAATTACACCTTCATCTGCTACTGGATATTTTATACATGTCATAGTTTGAAATTCAAAAATGTATGATTACATTCAACAGCACTCAAATTCTAAATGTATTTGGTGAGTTTGAAAATGGTGTCATTTCTTAAATATATGATTTTAAATTTCTGCCTCTAACATATTATATGCAAATACTTGATATGGAATGTGGGAAGGAACCATAGCATATTGAAATCACAAAGGCAAAAAACCTGTCAACATTTGCTAAGCATTTGCCACATGCACAAATCGCTTCATGTCTGCGGTGTGTGTGGGTGCTTGTCCAGGTCACATGACTGGATGTGTCGCGGTGGATCGTAAATGGCTCCCTGTGTCGTCTTGCCTTGTGTCATGTCTAAGGTTTATACCTTGGCATGGTGCCAAAGGTATATTGCAGTGGGAAAACCGTGACACAGTGAGCTACAAGGAGTTCATGGTAGAAATATAAAAACATGTTTAAGTCACCAGAAATTGCAGGTGAGCTACCTTACTACCAGGATTTCATGCTAGCAATTCAGAAATGTATCTACATCACCAAAGATTGCTGGTGAGTGACCTTGTTACAGGATTTCATGCTAGACATTCCAAAACATATGTAGGTTACAAGAAATTGCCGGTGAGCCACCTTACTTCCGAGGTAGAAATCCGGCGGATTCCGCCGGCAGATTCCGCCGGAATCTGCACCATAGCTCGGACCTTCATTATACACTCATACAAGGATGCTCCAGCCAGCTTGCTGAAATCTTCCTCATTGCCATCCTTCACGGGCAAGACATGACCGAAAAGTTAGATATTGTGTTACAAGCATTCCTACGACCCTCAGAAGTGATCAGGGTTGCAGTGGAAGCGGCTACATCCGTTGCAGCTCCAGAAAGCGACGTTGGTGCTATATCCGAACGGATTGCAGTGGCCAGCACAGAATTGTTACACAGGCACAAGAGAATATTGGCGGTAGTCTCTCATCAAGAGCCTCAATCAGGCGACAGCGAGTTAGGATGGTGAGTGTCTGAACTGTTTGCAGCAAAGCGAGTCGTGTGTTGCTCGTACTCGAGCTATCTCTGGGAACTTCTGAGGAATCCAACGCCGTTGTGTGCTCTAATACGTATGTCGAGTCTCCGACGGCTCGATTTTGTTGCTGTGATGTGCGAGTCGCCCGCTTCTGTGAAGACAACTGAGATATGGGCGATTTAGCGTATTTATCTTCAAACACAAGCATCCCATTCATGCTCCACGAATGATACATGTCAACTATGTTGTCGAACATACGTTCCCAATCGTCGAAGGATTCTCTATCGATATGGCGCAGCCCCGGCGGAACACCTTAGATCTCCGTGCAAACATCCACGGTAACATTCTCCATCAGCCAAGGACTGGTACGCACACCAATTTCTATTAAAATTTCATCGGCAGACTCAATAGCGTGATCATATGCTCACAACGACTCAGAGCTGAGTGTGACAATACACTCTGACTTCAGTACGAACATCAAACCCGTGTCATTGGTGACGCACGACACGGAGGGGCTCCGCTCTGTGCTGCTGGAATGTAAACGCCTCAAGGATAATTCCGGTATGACATGGTATTCGCTTTGATCTGGTCGGATTTAATCATTGTTCGTCCCCCTAAATGCGATGTCTTTAGCACAAAGGGGTCAGGTGGACATTACATCGTTATTTTCATGGCTTGCGCCTTATATGACAAGGCCAAGACGCCCTGCGATACGTGGGTTCAATTTCGCTGCCAGCCAGAAGCGGTGTGATTGACAAGACTTCACAGTATCGCCTATTGCACCTGATCTGCGCGCTTTGATGAAGCCCCTATACACTCTTCTCTCTTCCATTAGTGCAGGCATTCCTGGAGACGAAATATCCGACGTTGCGCTGATACGAGAGGATTGGATTCGCCACAAAGTGAGGGAGGAAGTTATTGCTAATCACAATGAAACCCATAAGTTGCGGTGAGGAGCCCTTGGCATCGCAGCTCTCTCAGATTGGATTGATAAATGCAGACAGAATACGCATAGGAACGTTCAACGTCAATGGAAAGCTTCCTTCGCAAGATCTATCTGCTTGGGTCCGGGTGTCACCGGATTCGGACAGTTCAGTTTTGATTCCGCCTTTCAATGAGATGTCGCCGTTGTCGATAGGATCAATCATGCGGAACGCCATGGAAAAGAGCCCTGAATCTGGTGAGTCTGTATCCTTTTCAGGATACTGAGATCAGCCGAGAGCCGTTGTTCTAATACATTCTTGTAATGCCTAGGTCCGCGAGGTGAGATTGCAAAGATATGCTGTTTTGCATGGACTAAGCATAGGTCTTGTATATCTCGTCGTAGCGCTACCCCTCGCTTCGACGCAGCCGGGGACGAAGCAGAGTCATACCGGCATGAATGACGTAGCTGATCCAGATCTGCTTGTGCTAGCTTTTCAAGAGTTAGATCTTTCCACGGAGGCTCTGCTGTACTCCACGAAGACTACGAGAGAAGATGCATGGTGCACAGCGGCCTTTGCTGGTTTGGGCGAGAAAGCTATTCTGTACGAAAAAGTAAGTGCTTATTTGATATGTCTATCTATACTGCCGCTGCAGAACGCAAAACATAATTTGCGAAGAATCAGGTTGATTTTGAACGACGTGCTAATTCTTGCTTCGTCAACTGCACAGCTGGCGTCGAAGCAACTGGTCGGCATATTGTTGGTTGTCATTGTCAAGAAAAGCGTCAAGTCTTGCTATAGCGATATCAGAGCTACTTACGTGGGTGCCGGCATCATGGGCATCATGGTACGTGGGTTGCGCCTCTGGGGACGTCGTAATGTGCTAACAAATGTCAAGGGTAATAAAGGAGCTACTGCAATCCGCTTAACATATACACCGATGAGCTCCACTCAGTCCGATCCAGCGAGATCCACGGTGCTGACTTTCGTGAACTCTCATCTCGCTGCATTTGATGAGATGTACGATCGGAGGAATGCAGATTTCCACGATCTGTCGAAGAGGCTTATTTTCGACACCGGGATGCCTGCACCACAATCATCTGAGAATGATGTGCAAAGTCCAGGATTAATGTCAATATCCGTTTTCGAAACGGACGCCCTTTTCTGGATGGTACATGGTCTCGCTCAGTGATTATATTGCCGGTGACTCACATTGTATGATACAGGGAGGTCAGTAGATTGTCGGCCGCATTATCGAACAATGGCACATTCAGAGTCACGCAGACTTGAACTACAGAATCAACCTTCCTGACAATGACATACGAGTCCTGTTGTCGATCAAACCTGATTCACACGACACTGAGTTGGATGTTCTTCAGAAATACGATCAAGTTATCCAATTCTGCCGCTGACATTCTCCGCATGCTGATCACATGGATACAGCTCAATCTCGTGAGGCGTACGAGAGTCGCATTTGAAGGATTCGTTGAGCGTCCACTGACTCATTTACCGTATGTGTGTTGTTATTCCTCAGTGTTCTGACATCGCTCAAAGCTTGCGCTCCCAGAACCTATCGCTTTAGCACAGGTGTAGCTACGGATCATCAAGGATACGATATCAAGTACGCGGAATTTCTTGGTGAACGTGGCTTTCATTCACGGCATGCGCAGACGGAAACCCGCATGGACGGACCGGATTCTACATATGAACTCTGCCATGGTCACTCTTCGCCAATTATCATATTCCAGTCATCCAGAAATCACAATGAGTGACCACAAACCGGTTTCCGCTGATTTTCAGTTGACGGTATGTCCATGCTTGAGAAATCAGACGTGGCGCTCGAGCCTGGTTCTCCTACAGCTCGCATCCTTGAACGCGGCCACATTTGATTCCTTTGTTGAGGATCTGTGGCGAGAAGTCGCTGTAATTGAGGAATCAGCAGGCAATCCTAGCGTGAAACTGAGCAACACCATGGTTGATCTTGGCAAGATTCAGTAAGCGTTGGCGATCGACAATGTGCAGTGCAGACTTTGCTGATGTCTTGGCAGTTATCAACAGCGAGTTGTCGGAAGTATGACTTTAGAAAATGACGGGAAGGTACGGAGTCTTTTGCAACAGTGCTGCAACAAACTTTGATCCGTGCAGGTTCCATGTGCGTTCCGCTTCATCGGAGCCGAGCCTGGAGCTGCCGCTCGTGAGCCTTAATTTCTATTGCTTTGCTGATACGCCACATCTGATGCGCTATACCCGAGATCCGCGGTGGCTCATCATCAACCCGATGGCTGTGAGTCCTTATCTACGGTCATAGTGTGACATTGTCTAATAGCTTGTGCAATGCAATAAACTTCATACAGGGTCTTCTACTGCCTGGCCAGAAAGTGACAGTCACCATTTCATCGCAGGTTGACAATGCCGTGGCATCGGAACTGAATATGGGGCCTGCGCGTCTTGAATGCACGCTGATTCTCCACACCGTTCTTGGCAAAGACCATTTCATATCCGTAACGGGCGAATATGGTACGAACCCTCTGTTTTCAAAACCAGACTCTCTGAAAATTTACACTCCCCAAAGCGCGAACGTGTTTCGCAAATGACCTCACATGGCTCGCCCGACTTCGCGGGCCTATCAGAGCGCTCAAGTCCGTCAGTGAGCTTCTCCCGGAAGATCAAGCAAAGACCGCGCCTAAGGAGGTCATGAGGCTCATCAAGTGGCTGATGAGTAATGCCACCGAAGTTGTCGGTATCTCACTTACAGGAAGTTTCTGTTCTCACATCGGATCACAGCATGGCCTCTTCCTTGAACCAGGTCCGAGCGCTCTCGTCCAGAGCATTCGTGAGGTCGGTCATACGTTCACTGTACTTCCATGTAGTCATCTTAACAGATGAAAAGTGCTTGGACACGGATGCAGAATTTCATTTCTCGCAATCCAACGATGACCCAGCTCTGGCTTGGGCATTCGCGGACACTCTCCTCCAGTTTTTGGCATCGTTGCCGGAAGCCGTATTCCCAACAGCGCTGCATGCTCGATGTGGCCAAGTGACAAGCAAAGAAGATGCTTTTGAGGTGTCTCAAGTATCTTATTGGGTCAGTGTCCATCCCGGCTGATGTTCACCGTTGCAGCTCTTGGATCAGCTGCCAAGCGTTCCATTGAATGTACGGAGAATGTCTTAACTTTACAAAATTACTTTATGCTCACAGGTCCTATCGCTGCGGTATGGACTCTATAGGTTTGGATATCTGTGACAGCCGTCCTACATTACGTAACGCAGCAGGCATCCTCGCTGTTGTTGGTCGAGAAGCTCGGTGAGCCATATTGTCATTGTAATATGATGCTACGATTTAGATGTCCTTAGTGGCAGTGTTTTCGGAAGTACTGTTGCGCGATGATACGGATTCAAGCATTACTACCTCTGTGGTCGGCAAACGCAATTTCCTGCGTTATTTCATTGCTTGAGGTATCCTCACGGCAAGCCAGAATGACGAACATGTAGAAAGGGCTACAACTCCGATTATGACAAGTATTCTAAGATACGACGTTGGTGGCCACAGCTTATAGCTACAAAGACTAGGTTCCAATGTCCCGTGCATGTCGGCATTTAGCATGTCCGAATCAGTGTTATATTATATAGGTTGAAGCATCATTGCTTCTGTGCCGAGCTGTACCGTTCAAGAAAAGGAGATCAACACCTCTTGAATCGAAGCATCAAACAGGAGACCCACACTGGGAGATATGTGCACGCTAAGCCCCTGCGGTTGCAGTTCGAACAGGTTTGGCGACCATCACATTTGAGTTTGCGACCTGAGAGAATATGCTTAGCACAAAGTGCACTATGCTTTGAGTATCAAAGCCTACCTCTGCAGAATGTGCATGCCACTGGGGTACGTTTGGGCGTCCTGGGCATCTGATAGTCCTCATCGGAGGAGCCGTTGCCGTTATTGTTGCTTGCGCTCGTCTGAGAACTTGTATGAGAAAGTTGCCCATGTAGACAATGTGCCAAAGCGTACATGTGCAGTACTCATTGTTGTCGAAATAGGTTATATAATAAGTATGCGCGGGTGTGGAGAGAAGAAGGCGAAGAGTGCTGTGGTATGTGACAAATCCATCGGATCGTCCAGTCTTTATAGGTTCTGACATCCGTTCCACTGCCACAAGAAGCATCCCGCAGTACGTCCAAAAGTGATCTCGCGCGCTATGCGATCCTTGGGCACGACAATTCAGTCGCGTTGGATGCGCTGAGGCTCCAAGTCCATGTTGACTCGGCGGTGACCGTCGCACCACTACTCTGGCAACAGACCTGAGTCTAAAGAAAGCGCGCATAAATTGGTCATTTAACGGCAGGTTTCGGCCTTGGATATCATGGAACTACAGAAGATGTACGGGACCGTATGAGTAACGACAGACAAAAGTGGTTTCGTACCATATGAGGTGCAACTCGCCGGTACCGAGTTTTGCAAACTCTAGGGCTAGCGTCGCACAGCTTTGTCGGGATTTCGTCAAACCACATGAGTCAGGGTCCAGAGTTCACGGGTGGAGGCTCTTGGCTCGCCGCGGAAGCTTCTTCACGGGAGTGTCAGCATTGGTACTCATGTCGACACTGATCTAGCAACGCGTAAACCCGAGTGTCGTCAGCTCGGCTGCTGCGATGCTGTGCCTTCTGCGCAAATTTACTCGACGCCGACGTGGACCACATACTGGCAGGAACGTCCCTCGATACCAATACATGATGGATCAGCATCACAGCGGCATTTTCCAGGACATGGACCGTAGACACGAAAAGATCGTTGAGCACGAATTGAGATCAGCCGCTGGGATCGCACTTACCAGGGCTGACTCATGGCCATTTGGATTCGGACTTTCAGCCAAAACTTTCATTCCAGATTGTCATGGGGTTTATGGACCAATAGGGAGAACAATTGCCGTTTGTTTCATCAAAAAGGGGCATCGCAAACCGAACCGCGCTGTCGGGAGAGATAGCAGAAATACCTGCAGGGCAAAAATTGTCCGAAGTCTGGGAGGTCCCACCTCTTCGATGATACGAATGTGGCGGTCAGCGTGATCGCAGGAACGATTGATCTGCGGATGCAGTACTAGATGCGGTGCAAGCCTATGTAGGAAGTATGACAACACGTCTCGCAGTCTCGGGAAGCTTCAGAGGGTTAGCAGCTCAACGTGTGGCGCTCAGTCGCCTTTACCACGCTGCGCACATCTGATATTCTCCAGATTTGAAAAATGCGGCGGTGCTACGGTGATTTGGCTGCATGATGAAAAGGTTAGGTATAGACGACGCCACATTGAGGCGCCGGAACAACTCACAAAAGCAGTAGCAGCATATCTCACGCAGCCTGACGCCACAGGACCAACAACAAGAAGCTTGTGGCGGTCTGCGCGAGAGTCTAAGATAGCTGTTTATAAAAATTGATTGGCGTGTTCTTCACGTCGCGCGTCATATACGGCGCTCGGATCGACCGTCAGAGTTCGTGCCGCAAATCCATCGTAAATGAAACATCACAGCGCCCGATGTTGCGCATAGGCGCTACACAGCAACATCGCTCGCTACCTCCAAATGGAATTTAGCAATGCGCAAATGAAGCGACGTCCGGGCCAGCGAGATCGGAACTGTCCTAACATACATGAATGTTTGGTAACGATGCGGCACCATGCGCCCACGTAGACGTAAGATGGCCGACACAGGAGGCACTGCCAACGCGTCTAATACAGAACGGCGATGGCGGAGCCATAATACGACGTTTTATCAGTTCATCCGAGCGCAAGCTCAGAGACATGGTATTCCGCACACACATACCGCCGACTAGCGTCCCGCTCTATGAATCATATCCAAGACCAAGGATGGAACACGTGAGACCGCTGGCCGCAGTCTATGGTCTAGTCATACATAGCACGGCAATTTATCAAATCGTCGATTGCCATCCTGTTGAAGACGGTGCAGCATGGAAACGCGCCCGGACAAGGATTCCCCTTTTCGAATTGTCTCCCAGTCAGAGGTAGACGGCCTGAGAAAGATCTTCGGCGCCATGCAACAGCCTTCCCCTGGCATAGCCTGACATAATAATGCAGATATGGAGACGCGTGGTCACTTACCTATGGATATCACCACATGCCAGCAAGTCTATAACGTGTCATTGCGGTCTGGCCAGAGGCCAGGTATCCGGTACACGACGAGGGCAGAGTCATTTCGGTGTGTAGCCATCAGCAGATCTTGTCAGTGGACACATGTGGCAGAATAGCACCCCTCCATTTCACGGCTTAGATAGGATGAGGGCCAGAAATGGGAGCATGAGAATGCCAGGAAACGATCAAGTAGCGTTTCGCTTGTGCAGTGCGGAGTCACAAGTTCCGCACCTCAGTCGAGTGGAGTTTTGATCGATTTATCCCTTCCCAAATTAGGCTATTTATGTTTCGAGTTGGATTTTATCGATTGTGCGGATCGGTCGAGCCTTGGAGTCAAAACGATACAATTGCAGAAAGTGACTCGGATAATTCTGGCGAAGAACGATTAGCATTCCATGTTTACGATTACAGAACATTGACTTCTCTTGTCTACAGCGAACGCGTCAAATAGGTCCGTCATGCAAACAACTTCTTGTACGCTTTTTTCTCTTTCTCCTTCTGCTCCCTCCTCTTCTGCCGTATCTTTTCGAGCTCAGCAATGATAGCTTTGTCATCCTTCACAAGCTCATGCGCAGCTAAAAGGTCTTCCTCCGCGTTGTCTTCATTCTTGAGGACCGCATTTGCCAATGCTCGCCGATAGAGCGCTTTAGCTGCGGACAGATATACAGGTTTAGCAACCACCACCACACCGGAGACAGGGAGACCAACCCTTGTCAGAATTATTCAGTTCCATATCTAACACACGGTCAGCTGCGCGCAGTGTAATTCCGGCATTCGCGGAGCCACCGAGACGCAGCGCAGCCAACGCCGAGTTGAGCAGGAGCGGTGCCAGCAGTGCATCGTAGGAATCCTTCAGCTCGGGCGGTGCACCTTCGGGCACGGTCTGATGCATGTCCAAGTATCGTATTGATTCTGCCGGTGTAACATGAAGGAACCGATGAGTAAACGCCACTGATCGACCACACGAGACATACGTACTCTGCCACTTCGCGAGCGCTTCTTCGACCTTGCCCTCCTTGAACAGCTTGTTCCCTAGCTCCCGCACCTCTTTAGCGACCCTGAGTGAGACAACAGGATCGTCCATCGGGCTCTTCCCGTCGATGAGGTCCTGATCCTCGGGATAATCTTCGTACGGATCTCCGCCTGCAGACGCGCTCTCCGCGAGGGACGGGTCGTCCGGCGCGAGCTGGCCACAGTCAGCAATCACGCATGGAGACGAAGGCACGTCTCCTGACTCAGTTGGCGTGTGTTCGATGGCGCGCACGACAGACTTGCCGCGGATCACCTCGCCGAAGACGACGTGTTTGTCGTCGAGGTGTTCCGTCGGGTTGCAGGTGATGAAGAACTGCGAGCCGTTCGTGCCGGGACCAGCGTTTGCCTGCAACACATAACCAACGTAAGCCGAGATCCGACATTGTGGACTGCTGTGGAGATACCATTGAGAGCTGGAAGCGCTTCGTATGCTTAACCTCAAAGTTTTCATCCTCAAACTTCTCGCCATAGATTGACTCGCCTCCGGTGCCGTTACCAGCGGTGAAGTCTCCACCCTGAATCATGAACCTAATTGACCTAAGCATGCGTCACCATAGCTGAAACAGGTTCCTGAACGCACCCCTTGATCACTCGATGGAACGTCGAGCCTTTGTACCATAATGGCTTACCCGACTTGCCTTCGCCCTTCTCTCCCGTGCAAAGCGCACCTACGCATCATCTTATCAGTTTAGTGTGCTATGACCGTTTTGAAATAATACCGGATGACGTACGGAAATTCTCCACGGTCTTCGGGACAATATCGTTGTAGAGTTGTATCACAATACGCCCGGTAGGCTTCCCTCCAATTGTGATGTCGAAGTACGTGAGCAGTCTTTCCGAGGCCATCGTGCACTGCTATGGCGAGCAAAATGCGAAGTTTTGCTTTGCAGGAGAATGCGTTTTGAAGAGTTGGCCATTGAAATAGAGCCGCATGCTTTCCAGAATGTACTAGAACTGTCCAGTGACTGAGTGAGCGCTATGCTGTGGGAAATGCCCTCCCTCTCTCAGCTACAGTTGGCTCGACGACCGAGGAACGGATGGAAGGTTTTATTCGTAAGAACCAGCGATCTCGATGTGCCAGAATATAAGCCGAGTGTACATGTATTGTTTTGTTTCTCGTGTAGAAAGAGTCAGTTAGAGCAGTTCGGAAGTATACTAAGCGAAGAAAGTAAGCAGGAAGAATAGACAGAAATACTGTAGATGTAGAAAATGTCCCTCTGTTACAACCCAACACCAGCCCAACAGCAACAACCTCTAATAAAACAGTCCAGAGAGAAATAGGATCATAAAAATAGGAGCAATCCAGATACGGTACGTAAGCATCGCGATGATGAGGCTAACACGGCCTGACTGCAGCTGCGGGTATGGGAGAATCAAAAGGGTTATCTAGGTTGTCACCGCACAGGGTAGAAGAATGTGCGAATTCATGACAAACGTCACGGTAGTGTCGTGTCGAAGGGCATGAGGCTGGGAGGGCGTCGGAGGGCATCAGCAGAGTCATCTAGACGACCGATTCCATTAGTCGTGATGGTGGCGTCGGCCGTGGCATGCCCGGTGTGCGTCGTGGTAGACGAACAGGCTTTCGTTGTGACTGTCGACGGCAGTAGGTCAGCGCTTGTAGCGGTCAGGAGGGGGTCACGAGACCCAGACTGTACTGACGTGGCGGGACATGATGATTTTTGCCATTGACAGTGGCCTTTGCGAGTCATAATATTGTGGTCCTAGAGAGCGTTGTACTATGTCAGATGACATATGAATGAACCGCAGCGCAGCGCGGGCGAATCAGCGCACCATATCGTGATCGGCCGACCTGCCAGTTCATCCTCATAAGCTCAGCCCCACCAATATATCCTCCTCCTACTGCTCTCTCTTCCGAACCCTGTTCTCGTGAGTCCTCGCCGATGAGGCTGCTCAGCGAGAACGATACTGGCAGACCACTCCAATTCCACAACGGCTGCTTCCCCGAGCTCAGGCTCACATGATGCGGCGCATTCACCTCCGCATCGAACTTGTTTGAAGAGAACCGATGTATGGGCCCACCGCCGACGTGGAGAACGGCGAGGATGGAGGTGAAGAATGAGAGAACCGAGAGCACCGAGAAGACCTGGAGGAGCGAGAGTGAAAGGACGTCCCACATCTTGGATGGTCGGGAGGATGCCTGTCTCTGCTGCGCGAGTGAGGACGTCGTGCTAGGTTGGCGAGCACGGACGGCGGCGACAGGTGGGTGGCTCGATTGCTCGAGAAGGCGGCGCGGTGCAAGCGGCGGGGAATTGGGCAGGAGCAGAGGCTGTAGCCGTGCGCTGGTCGAAGATGGGGCGTGACGCGTGATCCCTGGGGTCACGGAAAATCACAGTCGTCATACTGTTTGTCACAGGGCGGTGGCTCGCAGTGACACCGCAGGGTTCGTTGCTGTCGAACAGCATCTTCTGCTGGCTTTTCTGTGTGATACTTGGCTGGCCGGTTAACTATGTGGTAAAGCTTCTTGGAACAAGCGAGGGTGCCGTGGAGACCTGCACGATGCGGTGAACAGCAAACCAGGGCCAAGGGAACTTAGAATATGCCTTTGGTAACCCTGCCGATCCAACGTCGCGCCAAGTTTCCTGCCCTTTGCCTCATTGAATGCGCTAAAGGCCCAGATGCTCATATTGGGTCAATACACCAAAAATAATTGCGTATTTGGTGCTGCATTGCAGCGGATATGTTTTCAGCAGTGAAGCTGACCAGCCTGTCGCTTCTGCGAAGAGTATCTGGTAAGACGCTGATTGAGAGGAGCGGTGTCTCATGGCAACATCAGGCACGAACATCGCGTGTGGCCACATTCATCATAGAACGCCACACTCGCTCATTTGCACTTCTCACTGCGTACTGTCCTTTTTGAACACAGGTGCTCCGGTCGTCGCGCGCTGTCCCGCTGGCTATCTTCAGCTGTCCCGAACTTCCTCCGCTGGCGTACCTTGAGCTCAGAAAGGGAGGTCATCCCCCACGATATTCTGCCCTCTCTACGAGTGTTTCCTGGATACAGGTTTTCACCGGGTTCTCTCATCCATGATACGTCGCATGCTCTATTCCGATGTGGTCACATCACAATCAACGGCTCACTATTTCGCATCACTTGCTGTGGTCAGGTTTCCCGGATATTAAATCTCACTCCGCGACTGCCGTCACTGGCATTGTTCCTCAGTTGCTCGTATCACCGAGGGGAAAAACTGCTGTGATCTGGAACGTCCTCGCTGCTATGCTTGATTCCACCGGGCTCTTGGTGCGACGGGGTGTAAATCCTGTTGAGAGCGCCTTCACTATTCGGACCGACGCAGCGCATCAGCGCTCAGCGCCAGTGGCACTGCATCGAAACTGCACAAACGTGATCTCGGGGCAAAGTGGGTTGGTCGCACAGCCCGAGCGTGACAAATTGCCTGCGCAAATGTATTCAAAGCGCGCTCAACTAACGTAAACGCGCGACTCGGATCCTTCTGTACGAGGAAGCGCTCCGGCGATCGGCGGCATACATGTGCGTCCAGACAACCGATGGTGGTATCCAGGCGGAATCGTATTCAGAACAAGGCGGAATGGCCGGACGTCCGCGAGCCTCATCAATCATTGATGGAGTGAGGGACGCGACCGGTCACTTAACATTGACCTCCCAAGCATAGACGCGGCACGTTGCGAGCGTTCCTTCCATTTATTTGATATGTGCCATCCGGCCACAAGCTCAATAGGGAATGCCAAACGCCTTTCAGCGACTGCCGGGTGCAGTCCCAACGCAGGGCCGCGCATGATACTTTGGTTTATAATGATCCTTATCTCTAGATGACGCAGCCTGAAACATCACGCTGGGCGGAGTGGTTTACGGGTTTCGTGCTGCTGGGACGCCTACGTACCGACTTGCCTGGATATGAAATATGAACTCCTCTTTCCCATGGGATAGCTACGTGCCTTTTTTTATTTCAAACTGTACCACGCAATGCTCATCACAGAGAAAAATTCTAACGTGGCTCTCTGCGGCATTTATGGTCTGACTTTTTCACTATGTCAGTATATTTGTCACATCTTCGTTATTCGATTCTGGCTTGGGAAGAGTTACTCACGTTGTCTACCTTGGGTTTGGGTAGGCGGAGTTCCGCGGTTCGAAAATGCCACCGAAAAGGGGGCTTTTCGACCTTTCGCGCTTGGTCGCTGATGCGACACACCATCAGAGAGACCGGGATGAGACTCCTTGTCATGTAAATTCTACGGTGAAGCTCCTCACGGCTGGCAGACAAAACTTGGCACGACGTGCAGACATGTCACCCTGTAGAGGGTCAATCTCCACCGGACGCATCATTGAAGAATTCACATTTCGCATGTTCTAATGGGCCATAGCATTATGGGTTGTAATTCAGCATCTCCTATCTGAATCGACACGCTCATTCACCTCGAGCTAGCCTTCTTCCACGCCAACGTCGTCGCGAATGTTCTTAACGACTCGCAGATCCTTTCTTATACCATTCAAGAGCCGATCTCAAATGATTGGCATGCGCTGCAGCCTTTGCCTGTGTCTCACCGTGTCTCACCGTCGGCTCAGTGTATCCTCGGACTTGTGGCCCTATATGTCGACCGTCACCCCCCTGCGGTGCTGTATACGCGTGCTGCCGAATAGACGAACATGCATCATATATATATATATATCTAAACTGTGGATTCGACAGAGTACAAGGATCTGAACGAACTTCTTACGCGGCGACTTGGGTCATAGAAGATTATCGTGCGTCTAGTATAACGTGCGTTGGGGCTAAGCCGCATTTTCCAGGTCCACAGCAGTGTTATGTAGTCTTCGAAGCTCGTGCAAGCTATGTCAGGCAATGCATTTCTGGGCGCACAACGAATAATTACGCTGGGCATTTGAATATGGACATATTGTGAGGTTCATCGTGTAAGCTGATAATGACTCTGACAAGCATCTGCAGATCTTTGGAGACGTTTTTGTCAGTCATGATCATATAAACGCAACGCCAAGGGTAACCGGCATGGAATACTTCAGGCTTCTCACCAACACACGCTGCACTAGTTTTTCCACGATAGTGCATCCGAAGGCCCTCCATACTCCCTCCGTCAACGTTATGTATGAAATACTATGCATTAGACTCACAACTCACGATGGCAACTTAATTCCGTTTGAAGCGGGGAAGTGCGAGATTTGAGTCTGGAGGAACAGTACAAGATGTAGCAAAGTCTTCTCCCTGAGCATATAGCAGGTCTGATAACAAGCCAGAAACGTTGAGCTGGTACAATCGATTCTGTGTCACAATTAGCCATTGAGACAGAAACGGCTGCATGCAGTGAAAAGCGCGTCAGGAAAGTCTCTGTTTGAAGTTTATGTTTTGAGCAGCGAGTACAAAGCGAGTGAGACTGTAAGCAGTAAACCTAGTCTCCTCAGACAGGCTCGAACGGCAGCATATAGGCATCTTACTCGTTTATATGCACAAGTATTGTATATCTATAAATACTTTACACTTGAAGCGGCGCGTCATGGATCACAACCCTTCAGCCGCGGGACGTCACGGGTCACAAAGGCCGGTGCTTGAACTTCCGCGTCTAACACAGCCTGCATAGATTTATTTTTCCACGGGAAACCTGATGCAAAAATGGTGAAAATATCTTATGTCTGGATATGGAAACAGTTTGGAAATTGGGCGGAGACAATTAAATTATGTTACGATTGTTTTACCGAAACGTATCAGCAATAGTGAAACTATTTCTCAGAGGAAGATATTTCAGTCCAAAAATATGTGATACCGATATGTTTCGGTGAAGCAATTGTAACATAATTCAATTGTCTCCGCCCGATTTCCAAACTATTTCCATATCCAGACTTAAGATATTTTCACCATTTTTCCATCAGGTTTCCTGTGGAAAAATAAATCTGTGCAGGCTGTGTAAGGCACCGTTTGGGATCATTGCCGCCGCCGACTCTTGCGCTGTGGCGTACTACATTCACCACGATATCGAAGTGCAGACGTTGGATTTTCTAGGGATAATGTACGTCGCTTCGCAGTGGTAATGATCATGAAAGCTAGCGATTGAAATTAGTTGCCTCAGAGTGCCTGGATCGAGCGAACCAAACCTACGATCACTGCCAAATCACATCCAGCATATCTGATAGCGCGAACTCGTGCACTGCCAAGACAACATGAACGAGGAGTACCGTGTCATGCGAGTGCCGTTTGGGCTAAGACGGTTGTGGGATCAGTTGGCCGAAGAGCCATCTCTCGCAAGCGCTGTTGAAAGCCTTGAAATTCAGCGGGACGACGGGCTGCGGTATGCAAAACGTGACTCTGTTCAAGTACCTCGAGATTATATGGAAGAGGCGAAAGATTTGCTGCAAGACTACCATATTATCTCAGACGCGAATGCAGTCCCGCACTTACGAGACATAGAAAAGTCACTTATCCGCGCTATACGACATATGTCCAATCTGAAGAGGTTCAAGTGGGATCATGTAGCGCCTTTTATCGATGCACGATATGACATCGATTTTTCTGGAGACTTGTGGACTGCGCTGCGGTCTCGAGAGACGCTTCGTGAACTTGAAGTCATGGTCGAGGCTAGCGATCCGGGTGGCCAAGGTGGTGGCATTGAAAGCGAGTTTGGGGAGAAAAGGCACATGCGTGTTCATGACTCTCAGGTGACAGTCTCGTTTACGATTACACTTCGCGATATCTTGACAGTGCTACAGATAATCACACTCGGGCAATTGACAGTGTTCAAATACAAGGCATTCGGCTTTGTTAAACTATCTGAGAGTGTCTCTACAGACGCACTGACCGAAATGCTCGTCCATCGTTTCCCTAATCTCCAGGTATATGGCTTGTTGAATATTCTCACACACAATTGAATTGACAACTTCGTGTCAGGAGCTCAAACTCAAACTTGCTCTCCATGACAATCAGAAGAACGTGTCTCGTTTCACCAGCACCAGTTTGAACACGCTTCTTACATTTGGAAACTGGCCTCAATTAACATCGCTCTCTCTCGATGGTGCTCACATGAAACCAGATGCCTTGGGGAACTTCCTAACGCGACACAAGTCCCTGCGTTCCTTCCGCATCACGGGTTCACACTTTCTGAAGATGGAGGACTTCCCTCCCGGGGAAGATGTCGCTGTCGTGGATAAACCAATCTTCGTCATGGATGCATTCTCTGAATTGACTCTCTTAGACGTGCCTTTATACTCTATCCCTTGGATCTTATCATCACCGCACACTAAGCCCCTCGCACTGGAGGACATTGGATCTCTGGATGAAGCACATATGAATGAGGATATGTTCATGATGCTTAGAGAGCTGCCTCGTCTACGCACCGTGCGAACAGTGTCGTACGGAGCCGATCACCTAAGGGCACTTTCATGTTATGTCCCTGGTCTCCAAAACATTTACGGAGAATACAATCAACGCTCTCTGGTGAGTCTGCTGAGCCATGGATTAGTTCACTAGCTAAGCATGATTGCGTGAGGCGCGCGTTGTGGACGCTCTCGCTTTGTTCCCTCAGCTCGAAGTCGTTGACCGCTTCTATGCTTACTCGCCAGTGTCATCAGATGACGAGGAAGCCCCCCGTTTGCTTTCCCAGCTTGGGAAGGAGTGTTTTAGATTACGTCAATTCCATGGTTACGATATTGTCAGGACCGGCGATGGCGAGGTGGTGGCACGAAAGGTCAGAGGGTATACATACGTAAGTCTGCTAGCTTCAATGACCCCCTTGCACTCTATTAACGTTAGAACCAGTGAGAATGATAACCCAGCTTCCGCATGTTGCACTCTACTCTCACCAACTGGATTGTATCTGCGAAATGCCAATAGATACGAGCTTAAATTGGGAGGAAACGCAGAGGATCGCAGAGCAGCTGCTCACCCCCGATAGTCCGCCAATGAATGTCTCACATGTAATCAGCAGGTCAACAACTGCATCGTGATAGTACAAGGAGGCTTCTCGCCTGCTTCTCAGTTTGGGCAGGCCTCTCTGAGATTGCATCCTTTTCGTGTATATGACATCTTAAAGGATGACGACGGAGACATGCCGATCAGTGATAGCATTCTGAGTGCATACGCAAGGAATCATGTCCTCTTATACAGTCATACTACGTCGACGTGGGCACCACCAGTTGTGAAGGAAGTGACATCCGTGTGATCGTCCCAACTTAAACGTTATCGAAACATCGTAGATCTCGGCCCTCTTCAGACGAAATCCGATGCGTGCCTGCATCGCACACAGGCATAGAAAACCACTGACCACTATGTTACATGCGCGTTTAAACTTCCCAAAATCTTCCCAAAAGACACCCATCACAAACACGACCTTCCACAAACCATTGATCCCCACTCACTCAATAATTGAAGTCCTCCATCAGCAGCTCCTTCTGCGCCCTCTTCTCCTCCGCCTCAACGTACTCCTCCACCAACTTTACCTTCTCCCTCATAACCTCCTTCGTCTGCCCCTCACGGATATGATCGCTCAAGTGCTCCGCCCGCCCAAAGTCGATGATCCGGAAGCTCGGCGTCTTGCGCGACCGTTCGCTCGGCGGCTTCGTCAAAGGGCCCGGCTGCCAGAGCACGTTCCGCACGTACATCGAGCCCTGGACGAAGCTCTCGATGTGCAGCCGCAGGATGAGCGAGTAGCACTCGGATCTACATGCGCGAGGTCAACAATGGAAAAGGTTACGAGCATGAGCGCCGGGCGGGCGGGAACGCACCGATCGTCTATCGAAAACTTCTCTGGCTCAATCGGCGTCCCGCACTCCTCCATGAGCAGCACAGGGCTCAAATGGCCCACAGACCTATCATCGTCCTCATCATACCCCTCCCACGTCTTGTCCCAGTCCTTCTTTCCGCCCTTCTCCCCCACGGGCACGTAGTACCCGTAAAACTTGGGCACGACAGCGCCGACGGGGACGGGGTGCCGGATGGGCGTCACCAGATTGTACCCGCACCATTCCTCCTGCAGGTGCCTCGGGAACATGTTAAAAACGCGCGCCTCATTCCGCAGGAATTTGCGCGCGGAGACGGTGCCGTTCGCGGTCTTCGCCGCGACGGTGACCTGTTGGTGTGGGCCGCATGCGCTGAGAGGCGGGGGGAGCGTCAGAGGGGCAGTATACACGACCGAGTGGTGCCCCTTGCCAAGGACAGCGTTTTCGGAGAGCCAGAGATGGGCGGTATTGGAGGTCGAGGTTGACGACGGGTCATCGTCGCGCGTGAACCCGGGAAAAACGCGCACGTACTTGGCGGGCCACCGTGAATGCCGTCAAGTCGTACTCGGAGGTCATACGCTGAGATCGCTCACCTGATTCATCCGGTGCACCATCAGTGTGTCGGGGAAGTACTTGTCTGGGATGGACTCTTCTAGCTTCGGGATCTTCGCGATGTACTGCTTGTCAAAACAGAGCTCTTTTGCCGACGACGAACAAATCCCTCGATGCTTCGAGGGATCTTGGCGCTTCTGCGTTTGGTCTTCTTTTTTGTCGTCGACCTCTTTCTTCTTGCCCTTGCCTTTGACATCATGCTTCGATACGGGAGGTCGAGGCGCGGATGTGCCATGACTCGCGGATGGTTCATTCAAAGACATCTGCTCCGCCATCGCGCTCATGGATTTTCCCGCCTTCTCAGATGCTACCTGGTCTTTACGCTGCTCAGTCTGCTTCCCCTTATTGACTGAAGACCGGCCGGCTACGGGCTCCGACGGAGACTCCGGGTTGAGCTTTCCACTTTCAAGCATATCGTCCAGCATCGACGTCTTGAGAATGATCATCGGACGGCCGTTTCGCTGTGTGAGGTACGTGCTCGTGCCCTTCCCTTCTCCCTCCAACAGTCGTTTGACCAAGATCGGAAGCACCCCAACCTCGTCGACCACAAGCGGCCGTCCATCGGGACTGCGTATCATACGTATGCGGTCGGCGCCCTCAACGCCCCACGTAAACTGAAACGTCTCCTGCAGCTCCTCTATCCACAGCAGGAGATAAGGGACGCCGAGGGGCGAGATGGTGGGCGTGTCGGAGGGACGTTCGGCGTTGGGGTCGGGATTGGGAACGAGCGCGCCCCCGTAGACAGCGATGAGTGACTCTGGATTGAGCTCGTCCGCGGGGTCTATATCGTCGTCGGGAGCAGAGTCATCCCGCCGGATCTGGAACACCATCGAGTCTTTCCCGTCCTCATGGTCCGAGCCCTCGTCGAGCGCACCGAGTGGCGGGAACACTGTGTTTTTCTTCGCCACGGGCAGCTTCAGCACGGGCCACGGCCGTCTCAGCCGCGGCCACGGCTCCGGCTTTGCAAACTCAGCCTCGACGTAGTTCTCGCCGAACTCCTTGATCATGCTGCGCGACCAGACGGTAAGGACGTTCACGCCTGGCACGCGCTGGATCCACATGAGGTCAGTAAGTGTGTGTCCCCAGATGAGTCCGTTGGGCGTGCGCGTGCCCATCGGGGGTGGGCGCGGGAGAGGAGGACCAGAGGGATCGCGCAGCCATTGCCGGGTGACAAGGCGGGCGCGGTCCTTCGTGGTGGGTCTGCATGGTGAACCAGTGGAGGTGCTCTGCGTCTGGCTGTCGGTCTTGGACATGCTTGCGAGCAGTGGGAGTTTACTATGAGGGAAATGTGTTTCAGTGAGGGAAGGGAGGTGAGAGCTGGCCCCTTATGTAGGCGTATGGCTCGTCGATGGAGGCCACACGGCACCAGCGTGGCTAGTAGTAGCGAAAGAGCCCGAGATCAAGGATCTGTAGATGATTCTCATCCTCAGTCATTCTGGATGCATTCGTCGGGCCAAGAAGGTGAAGAGCGGCTGTCGCACGTGTACAGCAGCTGCGTGCAGATGTTCGATTACTCTTTCGGCTGCCGCCCCTAGTGCGAGTGGCTCCTTCGCGGGAAAATCGTAGTGCGAAGGATACGTTCAAGGCGGCGGAGTCGAGTAGCAATCTTCAGTGTTCGATTTCTCCTGCAACATGTAGACGTCGACGTTTTGAGCGTCAGCCCAACTCAAGTGCGAAACGAAAAGAACAGAGCTGATTTGATAGGCGCGTCATTTGTATCAGATCTTCCTGGCATGATCGATAAGGGTAAGCTCATGGCAGGTCGCGAGCGGCTCATCCGTGTGATATGCCGACGGGCAGCAAAATGTGAAGCCCAATGTACAGTAGCTAACTCCCTGTTTCATCTTCCATCTCATAGCAGGCAGAACAAACATTAGGAGCCACTGGCACTAGTATGACAATGTATTCCGGAGGGCCGGAACTGGAGCCACTGGCACGAGTTACCGGCTGTGATGAGCAAAACCTCGGGTAAAATGAGATTAAACACATCCAGCGTAGTCACGCCGCTCCGGGCTTCTACACGAAACTCAAACATCAGTGGAAACAAACTTAGCGTTAGATTGGATCCACGGAAACACTCTGCGGCGCAACAGGGCGATGAAATCTCACGCCACCGTACATCTGCGGAGCGCCCGTAAGAATCCACAGACGCGCAAAGCGGACCGTCATCGATTGTGGCTGAGCATCTCCGCAGCTGTCTTTCCTTCTCCATTCTATTCGGGTCCCTTGCTCTCTAATCGTCGCTGCCGTGCTCTCGTATGTAACGTGTCTCTGCACCTCGACCGATTCTAGTGCTTTCTCTGCTACGCATTTTAATCTGCCCTCTCACGCTCACGCTCGCTCGAACCGCTACTCACGACTCCGCGGACCGCTCGGAGGATTGAGAGTTTGAGGTTCTGTGATAAATAGCCCCCCTCGCGAGCTATCTTGGGAACCCTACTTCGTCCTCGCCTGCAAAGTTTGCATTGATAGAGCCTACGTCGACTCTGGTGAGTTTGCCCTTCGTCAGAGTGCCCGCAGTCGCTCAGCTCATCCTACAGCTACTTTACCTGGCTCACAGTCAGTTTCAATTACATCTTTCACATTTTATACATCTGTTCGATCTTGTTCGTTCTCGACAAGACAGCAAAAATGCGTCCCACGTCCCTCCTCATCCTAATCGCACTCGTCCTCGCCAGCGTCTCCGTCTCCGCGACACCCCTCCCCGCAGACGCAGCCGCAGCCGTTCATCAAGACGCCGCTCCGCAGCGCGCGCATATCTATACTCGCCGGCCTCGTGCCCACCCTTGAAGCTTGAAGCCCGACCGTTGGAGGAATTGTTCCTGGCCGGCAGATTGACGGACGCTTGAATGCGGAGAATGGCCAATGATTACGCTATGTCACGTTATATACGACGTTACTCGCTATGCTGCTCGGACTGTATCCCAAATGTCCTATAAATAGGGTGTAACACTCAGATATACTTAATGTACAAAATGCCTACTTCCAGACGGGCGCTTGTCCCGCAAGGACACTTCCCTACCATTAATGCTTCATCACGTCTTTCAATTGTGCCTTGGGCACCGCTTCCTCGTACGCCCTCCTCCTGAGGCGGTGCTTTGTCGCCTGCTCATATGCATACGCATATTTAAACAGTGTCTCCTCGCTGTATGCCGTCCCCAGGAACGCGATCCCGAAAGGCATCCCCGGCCCGTTCATGCGTGTCGGCGCTGCCTCACCAAGCGGAACGTCGGGCGGTTGGAAGCCGAGGGAGACTGTAGCCGCAGGACGAGGTCAGCGCGTGAGAGCTGTAAAACGAAGAAATGCGCAGCCAATGAGCCGCACCTGAGATGATCGGATACCCCGCGACCGCGGCAGGCTGCGAGGCCTCACTCGCGGGCATTACGATCGCGTCTACATCGTACCTCTTCAGCACGCCATCGATCCCGAGCTCGCGCCCCATGCGATACCCGTGTGCGAGGGCATCGAAGTAGGCGACGTCCTGCGGCGTGGACTCGGACTTAATGAACCTGGCCGGAGATGAGCTCATACACGGTGCGAGGGAGGTGGAAGGGACGCACCTGGACTGGTCATTCCAGAAAGGCTCGACGAGCTCCTTGTCCGCGTGCGTTTTGTTGAACTCAATGAGATCCGCGAGTGTCCGTGTACCCGTCGGGACCTCGACGAGTTTCGAGAGGTAGCTGTTGACGTTCACCTGTGCACCCATAGCACCAGCATTGAATAGCGTTCCACATCGATCCCGGCACATCCTCACCTTAAGATCCCCGCACAGGACCACATCTTCCTTCTCAGCATTCCACCCATGCTCGCCCTCTCCCTCAAAGTCTGCCGGGTCTACCACTTTAGCTCCCAGCGTCCTCAGCACCTCCAGCGCTTCGTTGAACGCAATCAATATGTTCGCGTCCGCGCCCTCGAGCACCTTCCGCGGCACGCCGAGCCGTGCACCCTTCAAGCCGTCGCGCCGGAGAGACTTCGTATAGTCCGGGACCGTCGCGAGCTGCCCGAGCGTGTAGTTATCGTGTGGATCACGCCCTGCGATAGCCGAGAGGATAATGGCACAGTCTGCGACAGTACGGCACATGGGGCCAACGCTGTCCTGGTGCTCCGAGATGGGTATGACTGCCCACAAGCGCATTCATGAGTCCTCAACCACCTCGTCACCACAGCTACTCACCTCCCGCCCTCGAAGTCAGCCCCACCGTCGGCTTGAGCCCCACAATATTGTTATTATTGCTCGGCGAGATAATCGATCCGTCCGTCTCGGAACCGAGCGCGCCCGCGGCGAGTCCAATGGCAACGGCGACGCCGCTACCCGAGCTCGAGCCGGACGGGTCCCCGAGGGGCACGTACGGACTCACACACTGCCCGCCGCGCCCGCAGAATCCCGAGGGCACCAACCCGCGGAAGTTCGCCCACTCGGAGAGAGACGCTTTTCCGAGAAGGATCGCGCCTGCCGCGCGTAGCTTCGCAGAGACGGTCGCGTCGCCTGGGACGATGGAGTCAAGGAGGGCGTATGAGCCTGAAAAACGGTGAGGAGGTGAATGGGTGTGTGGGTGGGCACGGACCTGCGGTGGTGTTCATCCCTATGCGGCGTTAGGGAACGCTGGAGTCGAGATAAGTGTATGGTGAGACATACCTTCCTCGTGGAGGGTCGCGATGTTGTCCTTCAGCAGGATTGGAATCCCGTGTAAAGGCCCACGAGGCCCGGACGTCTTCCTTTCCTCGTCGAGTTCCGCCGCCTGCTTGAGCGCGCTCGGATTGGTCTCGATGACAGCACGCAGCGCGGGACCCTTCAAATTTACTTCATCGATTCGCGCAAAGTATGCCTAGCACGTCCCGCCCACTGTCACCGGTCTGGGTCCGCAGCCACAGCCAGCATCGACCCGCCTGCTCACCTTTACTAGATCGACGCTGGTGAACCGGCCCTTCCTCAGCCCCTCCTGCAGCTCCTCCATGGACGCCTCGTACAGATCGGGGAGACTTCCCGCGCCGAAGATCCAGGACAGCGGAGGCGGGAGGGTCCCGTAGCCATACACTGTCAAGTAGACCCCGAGCACGACAGCGAGCGTGGACAACGCGGTCAACCGTGGCGTCAGTTTCAGCATCTCGACAAAGACGCGAGCGAGCTTGTCGGATTGCGTGAGCAACTTCGAGCTGGCCGACTATATACCGACGCTTATCTGCTTCTACGGCAGCCGTGGACAAGGAACCGAAGAGGCTGTCCACTTCCCGCTGATCAAGAGGTTCCCATAGTCAGTATTTTCGATTGCGAGCCATTTGAACAAGCATCTGGTGGGGAATATATGGGGGGTCGATGGCGAGTGTGCATTCCGTCGTGAGTTCGTTGCGGGGGCTTTGCGTCTACATATCTTCAGCCACAGCAGAGTGAGCGTCTCGCGCACGTGACTCCCTGACCATCGAGATTTGAATTTTGGACTTGGGTGGAGTTGGCGCGGCAGCGCCGGTTCCAAATAACAGATCTAATAGTGAGAAGCAAGTACGATAGACGAAGAAATCACGGAATAAAGTGAGCTCAGTATTGCAAAGGCAGATAGCATGGATGAAAGCTATTATGCATACACAACTACAGCTCCCACACGTATTCTTCTGATCCCCACTGAACGTTATTCATGACTTCAAACTCATCGCCCATGATATCTCGAGACTCCAACACAGGTAGGGTAGCATGGTCTTCCTTCTATGCACCACAGATATTCTCCGTAAGTCACATTGAAAGTAGTAAGTGGAAGAGAATATTCTTCAGTGAAGTGGACTTGAAGTTAAGGCTCCAACTATCTATACTATTTACACTCCTGAGGTGTAAATAAATAGTATATAGTAAATAGTTGTCTATATATCATATAAACAGTTTATATAAAGTTTATATAGTTTTTTTGGTTCCAGCTTTTGGTAGAATTTTACTCAACTGTGAGCAGCCTCTGTGATTGTTGAGTCCTTTAAGGAGCTGCATGCATCAGCACGCACGTGACAGTGGGCAGAAAACAAACATTCAATGTCAACACTTGCACCAGAAATGACAAGGAAATCTTATGTAATACAAGAAATGACAAGAAACTCATGTTCATGAGCCTATATGATGATCAACTGTCAGTAGTGGCTTTTGTCAAACAGTATGACTTTCAATTGGCTCACTGTTGCACTGTTGTTCTAGCAATTGTGCACTCAATGGCCCTATATCTCAATAAAACTATTTATACTATATATATACATCTATTTACTATGTACAGGCCCAACTGTAAATAAACAGATATAGTAAACAGTTAAAACTATGTAACACAGTATATAGATAGAAATGTTGGAGCCTTACTTGAAGTGAACCACAGTCATCAAATGAGCGGGGCTGGTTAATACAGGACCATTGGTTTATCATCGGTGAGGTACCTTGCACCCCATAGATCACGACATAGGCCAGTTTGATTGTAAGGGCTCGACTCAATAGAGGAGGGCGCTACGAGAGGCAAAGATGACGAGGAGCGAATAGGATCAAATAAGAAGGATGTCGAGTATTTACTGGAGTTGCTTCTGTGACGATTCCTAGCAAATTGGCGCAGCTTATATATATGCGACTCATGCGAGATGCATGCAATACTAAGGCAGAATGTAATGGACATGTCATAAGAATGAGATCATTCAGTGGAGAGATGAGCACATAAGGGATCATCTGAGCTAAGGCGAAGTAAACCAAGAATATAGTCTGAGCCCTGGCATGGAGCAGTCGCCTCGAGGCTACTCGACTGTGAGCAGCCAGGAACACTGTGATGGAGCATATGAAGCGCATGACAAGGCAGGTGTGACGAGAGCTGGCACAGCGACAGAATGGCAGGAACCCGCTGCATGAGTGCGATGATGACACCATCCCCGTTCAAGGTGGAGTGCTGCAACATGATTCAAAGGTCGAGTTGCACAGGAGGTCGAGAGATGTGGCTGGTGCAAGTCATAGTGCACGAAGGTGGTGTATACGAAAGATGAAGATTCAGATGCACAGGAGGTGATGAGGTGGAGCCCAAAAATTGGGCAAGAGATACAGGGTCAAGAGGTAGAAGCTGAGTAGAAGGGATGTTAGTAGGAGGGGTCACATCCAAAGATGTGGGAGGTTCCAAAAATTGGGATATGCATCAATCGAGAACGATGCGATGCAGACGAGGCAGCTTTGGATGCCGGCAAAGGAAACATTTGAGCTGCTCATTGAGTGAGGAAGGGATGTCAGAGAGAGCAATCCAAGACCGTTCAGAAACTGGCTGGTCCTTCCAATGTATGAAATAGTTATACTGGCGCCCAACCTTTCGACAGTCGATGAAGGTCTCGATCTGCGAAAGATCAGACTGGAGCTCGATGTGTGTGGGATGCACAGGAGTGCGATGAAGAACATCAGTGAGAAGTTGATATGGCTCGAGGAGGGAGACATGGAAGACCGGATGGAGATGCGACATAGACAGTGGCAGCTTAAGTTTGAATGAGCATGAGCCACAGGCACGTTCGATTGAATATGGGCCAAGCTTCCGATAATCGAGCTTGTCAGAGGGGCACATGGTTTTGATGTTACGGTGCAAGATCCAGATGAGATCGCTGGGCTGGAACGTGAGAGCAGCAGAGAGGTGGCAATTATAAAAATGCACCTGTGAGGCTTGGGCGTGTGTGAGTTCCACACGCAACTGTCACGGCTAAGCTTTGCCACACGAGACATGACGCCCATGGGTGCTTCACACATGACCTGCTCATGGATGACCTTTATACTGAGTGCCTTGTAAGGCCCCAGGGTCTCACTTGGAGTGGTGACTCCAGATCCAACATAAAAGGGTGGCGAGCCCCCTATCAGCCAATGGTAGGCAAGGACGAGTGAGTGGCGATAGGCCTCACTGTCGAGCTGACTCAGGGATGAAGGGTTATGGCAAGCCACGATGGATGAGAGAAATAGATGAATAAGACTGAGGGCTACCTCAGTCGCATAGGGCATATATATACATGTGGGGCTGGACCCTGGTCACTCTAACTACGGTGTACCTACTGAGGTCCTAGCAAGCCACATATGCATATTACATAATGTGCTACAGCCAATAGCAATGTACCTACTAGTAAATACTGTATGGTCATTGGTGGGCCGTAGTCACATGCATAAGGCCATGGTCCGTGCGGCATTCCATCGGGGTGCCGTCTCGGCCATGAGGTATAAGGCTGACCTCCTTACCAATCCAGACCTCGGTGTCCTGTGCCTATGCCCGAGCCTATTGAGTGGCTATCAGGATGTCATGTGCTTGAGCGTCTTTTAAGGTCACGTGCCAGGGGCGCTTGATTGGGTGCTACCTTGTGGGTCACATGATGTGTCGATTGGCGCAGACAATCGATAAGATCCTTGAGTGCTTAGCTGATCATCAATGATGTCGCATGGCTTTTGTGGCTGCTGTTGGTGACGCTGCTTGAGTCCAGTTACCGTAGGGCCTTCCGAATAGGGAAGTGCTAGTATACTGTGACAGCAACTCATCGTGGATGAGTCATAATCAGTCGGTGAGGTTGGCAGCAGCAGGAACAGTGGAGCGCATAGTGAGACGAGGTTCAAAGGTAGGATGGAAACCAAAGTTTGCAAAGTAAAGTGTTTGCTTTGCAGAAGTATTCACTGCATTGTTGAAGGCAAACTCCGTGAGAGGAAGGTAATCGACCCAGTCATCTTGTTGGTAAGATGTGAATGCATGGAGGTAGGTCTCTAGCATTTGATTAGTGCACTCGGTAAGGCCATTGGACTGTGGGTGATAGGCTGTGGAGGTACGAAGGTGTCACGGATCACCGTAGACAAAGGTAGACAAACTAAAACTCCAGTCCCTTAAAGGGTACTCTGGAGTAAAAGACCGGATGATCTGTATGATGAGCTCGTCGACGAGCGAGCCCCTTCAGTTGACACTTATACTCACTTGGTTTATGTGGTGGAGCTGGGTGGCGAGCGAGGCTATGATGCGTGAATAGATGTATTAGGCTTGTTAGGCCTGTAGTAGCTGTCATGGTGGATGAAGGAGAATAAGACTGAGATCTGTCTCCCGTCTGCCCTGGTCTTATATACATGTGAGGAATGCTACTGTATAGTACTTACATAAGTATCTTCCATAGTGCCCATTGGCTAGCATTACCATCGTACGATGTGTTTTTAATAATATGATTGGTGCCTATGAATAGTGCAGCATGACGGAGCTCCGGGTGGTGCTACCTGAGTCATTTGGTGTGGATGACTGAAGCCAAGGTAAGCTGACTGAGCGACTTAGTCAGGGTCAGTGTCGGGGCCGATGGTCGATGGTCAAGTCATGTGATGTGTTTCTATATATAGTAAGGTCAATGGCTGACCTGTCATGTGATGTGTAAGATGAAATGAAATGATAAATGTAAACTAAGTGTATCTATGTTCCATATATAGGTTGTCTGACGAAACCGTGACAGAAGATCGATCTTGAGCAGATGTGCGAGTTCGGACCAGAATTTGAAGATGAAGATGGATCTGCGATCTGAGACAATTGAATCGGGGAGTCCGTGATGGCAGAAGATGCAATCAACAAAAAGATATGCAAGATCTGGGGGCAGTGATCATTTCGAGGCAGGAAACGAAGTGTGCAGCTCGAGTGAGGCGATCACAGACCACCCAAATAGAGTCATAGCCATGCAATCGGGGTAGTTTCACAACAAATCCATAGAGATGGAGTGCCAGGGCCTATTGGGGATGTCGAGAGGCTGGAGCAGGCCGTATGGCTTGTGTCGTGGAGTCTTGATGCAAGCACAAGTGTTGCAAGCAGCGACGTATTGACGGACAAAGGTGTGCATGCTGGGCCATGAGTAGTCATGTTTGATGAGGCTAAGCATGTGTGCTCGACCGGGATGTCCAGCGATGAGTGCATCATGACGAGACTTCAATACCTCAGCATGAAGTGGTGGAGGGACATATAAGCAGTGTTTATGGAAGACAAGATTCTCCTGAACAATGAAGTCATCATTTCCAGTGGCAATGGCTTCGTGTCACTGTACATCGTGCTTGATTGCATCCTTGAAGCGTTCAAGGAGTTCAGAATTGTCGAGGGCGAGAGCACTCAAAGAAGCAATTGAGATGGTGGAAGCAGGTGGAGGAGTACACGACATTTTGTCGAGATAGATACGCTCCATGTGCATGTCCATGAGAAGCATCTTGCACTGTTGTAGAAGTGCATCATCCCCCGCTTGAGATGCAAAGTCAGAATGACAAGACAGAGCATCAGCGGAATTGCGTGAACCAGGAGCATAGTTCAGCTGAAAGTTGAACTCAGAAAGGAGCATGGACCAGTGAGCCTGGCGATGATTGAGCACCCATGAAGACATAAAATATTTGAGATTCTTGTGATCTGAGATGACAGAGACAGGAGTGGACGTGCTGATGAGCCAGGCATGCATGTCGTGGAAGGAGTTGATGATAGCAAGAAGTTCCTTATCATATACTTCATAATTGATCTCAGCAGATGAGAGCTTGCATGAGTAGTATGCCACTGGATGTAGAAGGCCCTTTTCATCAGGCTGGAGGTGAATACCGGCAATGGCGAAGTCCGATGCATCAGTCATAAGAGTAGAGGGGAGTGAAGGATCAAAATGTAGGAGGATTGAAGCAGAGAGGAAGGCTGCCTTGAGGGTTTCGAAAGATGTGCGGGCAGCAGGTGTGAATGAAAATTCGTTGGAATCCTTCTTGGTGAGCGCATTGAGAGCGAGCACTTTGTCAGCGTAATTTTCGATAAACTGTCGATAGAAGTTGGTGAAACTGAGGAACGCTTGAACGTCATAGAGCGTCCGAGGAATGGGCCAATCGGACACAGTCTGGAGTTTCTTTGGCTTCATCTTAATATTATCGGCACTGACAATGTAGCCAAGGTATTCGACGAATGTCTTGTCGAATTCGCATTTCTTAGCATTGACATAGAGTCCAGCAGTTTGCAGACATTGGAGGACCTGTTGGACATGAACATCATGATGGTCTTGTGTGCGGGAGAAAATAAGGATGTCATCAAGGTAGACAACGCAAGTGATATCGAGAAGGTTGCAGAGCGTGTCTTGAATGAATGCCTGAAAAGTTGCGGGAGCATTGGTAAGGCCAAACGGCATCACTGTGTATTTGAAGAGGCCCAAGTGAGTATGGAATGCAGTTTTCCACTCATCGCCCTCCCAGATGCGGATGAGATTGAAGGCATTCTTGAGGTCGAGTACGGAGAATACCTTGCAGCCTTGAACACAGTCAAGCAGATCGTTAACCAGGGGGAGAGGATAGCAGTTTTTTTGGTGATAGAGTTGAGTTCACAACAATCGATGCAGAGGTGCAGCTCCCCAGTCTTCTTGTGTACGAACAGGATAGAAGAAGCAGCTGGAGAAGTCGAGTGTCGGATGAAACCTTTCTTGAGGTTGGATTCAATGTAGTCGAACAATGCTGTTCGTTCGCCCTGTGAGAGTGAGTAGATCAGGCTGAACAGAGGAGTCATGCCATCCTCAATGTCAATAGCCATATCATACGGTTGATGAGGAGGAAGTTGGTCGACATCAATGGGAGAGAAGACAGAGGCCCATGGATGGTACTTTTCAGGGAGTGAGGTGTGGATATGTTCAGCAGCAGGGGGCAGTTCTGGTGGAGGGGTTTTCGCAGGAGTCAAAGATGGTGGAGGAGAGGTGTTAATGAAAGTGATAGTATCATGAGAGCCAGAAGGCGTATACCAGATAATGGCAGCGACATTATGCTTGGCGCACTTAGCAAAACATGAGGAGTTGATGAGAGAAATGTTTATAGCAGGAGATGGCTGAGTGTCCTCAGCTGAAGAGAATATAGCTGAGAAGAGCTGTCAGTAACCAGAGCCAAGGACAGGTCAGTGAGAGGAAAGAAGTGGAACAAAGGGAAATGTCACGAAAGAGGTGATGCCTCCAGTATGTCGCAAGCATTCCAGGCAGTGAACAGTGTCAGGAATCATAGGATGGAGAGTGTTGCTGCATAGACCAAGGCCTAAGCTGACAGATGTAGCAGAGAGTGTGGAGATAGAGGTTAAGGGCACAGGGGGTGGTGTTATGAAGCGTTCCCTGCTAAAACGTTCAGAACCACGTGTGCTTTCTCACACGTACTAGTCCACAGTGTGGACAGAGACTTAGATATCAAATATACCTAACGTCTCCAATAGTCAAGCAGACTATTAGCAGGGTTTATAGTGTGGTCAAGCCTAGTAGACGATGTAGCAGTGAGGTCCTCACTCTACCCTTGCTAGGCCTTGGCC